AGAGTTGCTTTGATGCAATTGGTCTAGGGACCTACCCATTATATTATTGTAATGATCAGCCCAAGCTGGGACTATAATAATATGAATGTGGATCTTGGCCACTATGATTGTAAAACATTCCATGTTCCTTTTATTGGGGTCAAAGAGCATGTAAAATTAGTGGGAGCTAAATAATTAAAAGTCCATATTATTTAGTTAACTAGATGTGATCATAGGAATTAATATATGATTTTAATTCCGTTCTATTTGAACTTCTTTAGACCTTTTAGGTATGTCGAATTTATCATTGAGAAGTATCTTGGATACAAATAATCTGATTGAACCAAACTTTCTAGACTTGGAACAAAATATGCGTTCCGTTCTTAGGCAAGAAAATATCGAACATGTATTTGATACATGTGTACCCGAGATCCTTGATGTTAGCTCTTCTGAATTAGCCATGTTTGACAAGGACATTCAGAAGAATCGCATTGCTGAGGTACCAAAGCATGTATGTCTCTACTGCAAAGAGATATGACATTGGAAGAGAGATTGTGAGCTATACAGGACTAATCTAGCCAAAGCACCGAGTGCTTCTAGCTTAGGCATTTTTTTCATTGATATTAATATGTCTACAACTAACTCTCACTGTTGGGTATTAGATACGGCTTGTGGCTCACACATTTACAATAGTGTGCAAGGTCTAAATGACAGTAGAGCAGTTAGGCTGAGTGAGATTGACCTACGTGTAGGAAATGGAGCAAAAGTTGCTGCTGAACGTGTAGGGACTTATATATTAGATTTACCCGGTGGTTATAGACTAGAACTAAATAATTGTTATTTTGTTCCTTCTATAACAAAGAACATAATTTCCATTCCTATGTTAGACATCGAGGGTTTTTCCTTTCATTTTGCTAATAACACTTGTGTTTTTCACAAAATGGTATTGTGTATGGAAATGCTCCTCTTATGAATGGGTTATATGTTCTTAATTGTAGACATGACATATTAAATGTACAGAATAAAAGACCAAGGTTAAGTAATCTGAAAAATACCACATATCTTTGGCATTGTAGACTTGGTCATATTAATGAAGCCAGAATAGTAAGGTTAAGTAAATTAAATTACTTAACACCATTTGATTTTGAATCATATGGTAATTGTGATTCGTGTCTCTCAGCTAAAATGACGAGTAAACCTTTTCTTGGAAAAGGACTACGGGCCAAAGAAGTGCTTGAATTGGTTCACACAGATGTGTGTGGACCATTCCCAACTCAAGCTAGAGGAGGTTTTTCTTACTTCATCACGTTTACTGACGATTTCTCTAGGTTTGGATTTGTGTATCTTATGAAACACAAATCAGAAGCTTTTGAGAAATTCATGGAGTATAAGGCTAAAGTAGAGAAGCAACTTGACAAGAGTATCAAGACTCTACGATATGATCGTGGAGGGGAATACTTGAGTAAGGAGTTTCTTGATTACTTAAAAGGTCAGGGAATTCAGTCACAATGGACTCCTCCAAGAACACCTCAATTGAATGGTGTTTCTGAAAGGAGAAATAGAACCTTGTTAGACATGGTTAGGTCCATGATGAATTCCACGTCTCTTCCAACATCTCTTTGGGGATATGCATTGCAAACTTCGATATACATTCTGAATAGAGTTCCATCTAAATCAGTGCAAAAGACACCATATGAGTTATGGTGTAATAAGAAGTCTGTTCTTTCGCATATTAAAGTGTGGGGTTGCCCTGCTTATGTAAAGAAATTGCACACTGATAAGTTAGGAGCTAGAAGTGAGAGATGTTATTTTATGGGGTATCCTAAAGAAACTAGGGGATACTATTTCTATCATCCTGATGAACATAAAATCATTATTTCCAGACAGGCACGATTCCTAGAAGAAGACTTGGTCTTCAAGGAATTCAATCGCGAGAAGATAGTACTAGAAGAAATTCAAGAATCACAAAATAACATAGAGGATGAAGACTTGTTAGATGGTCAAAACAAGGATTCAGTGGGAGGATCAAGCGGAAGTATGTCTCTAGGAGGATATCCTTCAGCTAGTGGGAGTAATATAGGAAGCACCTCGCACCAGCAAGTGGTTCCTATTAGGCATGAAAGAAATGACATGGTTGTCATTCCTTCTGCACCTACTTCTCCTTCTCTGGAAACACTTAAAAGTGTAGCACCAGAAAATTCTCCGAGCATTGGACAGTCCAATGAAAGAGAACCTCTTCACAATCAGAATGAGCAGCCTGAACAATCGCAAAATATTCAACTTCGTAGGTCTACTAGGATTCGTCATGAACCAACTAGGTTTGGCTTCCTCATGGAGGATCATGATGATGTTGAAATTCCTAACAAGGATGAACCTAAGACTTACACTGAAGCAATATTAGATATTGATTCAGAGAGATGGCGAGAGGCCATGAAATCTGAAATGGACTCGATGTATATCAATCAAGTATGGAACTTGGTTGACTTGCCTGTTGAGGTTAGACCCATTGGATGCAAATGGGTTTTCAAGAAGAAAATTGATGCCGAAGGCAAGGTGCAAACATACAAAGCTAGGCTAGTGGCTAAAGGTTATAGTCAAAGAGAGGGAATTGACTATAGTGACACCTATTCGCCAGTTGCAAAACTCAAGTCCATCCGAATTTTGCTTGCGATAGCAGCATACTATGATTATGAGATTTAGCAAATGGATGTCAAAACTGCTTTCCTTAATGGAAACCCTAAGGAGGAGGTGTACATGGTACAACCTGAAGGTTTTATATCCAAGTCAAATCCCAAATCAGTATGTAAATTGGAGAAATCCATATATGGGCTAAAGCAAGCCTCAAGGAGTTGGAATATCCATTTTGATGAAGCGGTCAAATCGTTTGGCTTCATCAGAAGCAATGAGGATGCGTGTGTGTATACAAAACACAACAAGGATAGCGTGGTCTTTATGGTCATATATGTTGATGACATTCTGATCATAGGGAATGATATTCCCTTATTGAAGTCTGTGAAAGAATGGTTATCCAATATCTTCATGATGAAAGATCTAACAAGTTTTCAGATTCAGTATTACCAGTTTATTTCCCTGCGAAGAGATTTCCTAGCCTTTCTCTTAGGGAGATCTAACCGTTCTTTCGGGAAGGAGAAATCACGTGGATACCAAAGGTCAAGGATTATCACCGCTAGGCTGGAAGATCTGTAAGTTCTAACTCAGATCTGTTATTATTATCATATTCGTTATTTTATCATAATCATGGAAGATCTGTTTCGGAAAAATTTTAAACTTCCGCTGCCGTACTTTCGAGGTAAGTTACATCAATTTCCTAACACTTCCCGTTCAAACTCACCCATGCGTTCAGAATCTTTTGGGTCAAAATTGCAGACCCGTCTGCTGAAGCGACGAGGTTCTCTGATCTTATTTCTGTTCAAACTCGCCCCTGCGTTCAGACCTTCTGAGTTAAAATTGTGAGCCCATCTGTTAAGATCTTCCTGCGTTCATATTTTTCATCCCCTGATTTATCCCACAACAAAGCCAAATGCTCCAGAAAATTGTTCAACACTGATCGGCAGTTCATCGGAGACGCCGTCATCGACTCAAAAGCCTAGTGTTTCACGCTAGGTCCGCCCACCCTTTCCTATATCTTATAATATTTTTATTTCTTGATACCAATTAAGACAGAATACATAATTAATACAATATTAAATAGAGAGAATAAATGAATGATTAGTCACTTTTTTGTAAATTTTTATAATAAGTCATAGTTTTGTCTCTTTTACTTGTGTTAGTGATATTGATAAAAAAATGTCATAATTCTAATGCAAAAAGAGAGAGCTTGGAAGCTATGCTTAAAGAACCGAACCGGACCAGACGGATCAGCCTGGAACCCGGCGACCCGGGCTCCAGTCCCTTCCGTTTAGACACCAACCCGCTAATGTACAAGAAACTGGAATTACCCACTAACCCGTGCTAGCCCGAATCGCAACCTGGACGGCGCAAACCCGGAAAATGAGCAAAAACCCGGAAGTAGGGAATATTCGGCGTTCAAAGGGGGATTCAATCATTCAATCCGTGGGTGTTTCAAATTGAAGCAACGTCTTCATGCCACTGGACTACTTCAGGGAGTTTGTTAACTCAGTTCTTTAGCTAGAATAATACACTAATTGCATAATTTGTTTCCTTTACACATTAGTAGCTACGTATTATATATTACTCTATAATGAGTAGTCATAATAAATAAACACTTAATAGGAGTAATATTTGTTTACTCCCTCCGTCCCGGAAAATTAGTCCCACTTTAACTTGGATCGGAATTTAAGAAAGTGTGAATAAAATGGAAATGTATGATTGTGGTTGAGTAAGAAAAAAGTAAATGAATGTTAGCCACACAAAACTTTCCAAAAAGGGAAATGGGAACAATTTTTTGGGACGGCCCAAAAAGGAAAATGAGACTTATTTTATGGGACGGAGGGAGTATATTTTTTGGTAGATATTTTATTGTATGTTAAAGTAGATATTTCATTATAAGTTAAAGTAGAGATATCATACTATAATTTTTTTAATAAGCATTATACTTTTATTTATTGTCCGTCTAATTTTAAGTACGTTTATATCATGTTAAAATTGTACATCTTTCAGAATAATAGTTTTACACACATTTTATATTTTGTTAAAAATAGCACATTTAATAGTAGTAATTTTATTCTTTAGGTTGACCGGGTTTTTCGGCGTTGACCGGATTGACCCGGCGGATCCAGGTTGACATGTGACCCGGTCATTCGGTTGGGTGGCTTACCTGCCCGGATTTTACAACATAGCTTGGAAGTGAGTATTTCTATATGGGCTGGAATTTTGTTAAATAAGGCCTTAAAGGCCGTACAGCCGGACCAACCCAGTTGAAATATGGAAATCTCCGAGAAGTTCTCAACCCAGCCCCACGAAACGGACCGTTGAACCGCCAACGGTCATCTTGAAGTCCTTATCGGGTCTCCTTTCTTTCTCCTTCAATTATTGGTTCTCTGCTCTTTAGTCTCTGCTATAAGGGTATAAGGGGTCAGTGTTCTTTACTCGGCATTAACGTAGCCTTCAACTTATTCATCGACATAATAATCGGTTCAGAAGAATTGCGATGGATGAGAACCAAGAATCGCCGCCGCAGGCTCAGAAAGAAAACGCCGTTCCGTCGCTACAGCCGCGTACTCCGGCCGCCGTACCAGCCCGTCTTAAGGTCCCCAAACCTTTCAAATACCCTGAAAGGTAAGCCCTTCTTCCTGTCATCCTAACAGACTTTGTTTGTTATAGTACGATGATGTTGTCCTATGATCTGATTTTGACGGATGAATCTTTCTGATGATATAGGTACACAAGTCCAACTGATCAGATGATGTCCCCTGTTTCAAAGAGACTTCTTGGGGACGGCAGAACTAGAAAGGCCGTCGCTGCGGCCGCCGCTGCCGCAGCTCCCGGACCCTTATTACCTCCTAAGCCTCTGAAGATAAAATCCGTCGCCCCTACAGCTGCCTCCACCGCGACAGCAACCGCTCCCTTCAGCGTTCTCGCCGCCAGAGTTGATCTTTAGTGACCCAAACAGCGCTTTGACGTTCAAAGTCCTCTGTAATCGTACTAATGTCATTCTGGAAAAGGAAATCCGTTTTTTGTTGTTGTTTTCTTTTCAGGTTTGTAATGTATCAAATAATCAGCATCTATTTCAAAATAAGTAAAGTTGATTAATGCTAATCCTTAGATAATTGAAAGAGTTGAAAAAAGTATCTCAAAGGTGGTGGAGAAGTCATTATTATTTTAGTCAATTATGTCTCTCCTCGAAGTTGGTTAGCAACCTCAAATTTTGTTCAGGACTTTTCTTTTTCATAGATCATTTGTGGCACGCAGGAAAGGCTCGTGCAACTGCAGCTAGATTTGAAAAAGGAATTGATGGTGATAACAAGTTACACCTTTGTTTAGAGTGAATTTGGGGTCAATTACCGGATTCTTGTTTGGCCAGATTAGGGCGGGTTCGATATGACATACCGAAATTTTTACGCCATACCGTACCGAAATGCATCATCATGGATATGTATGAGGATTGTACTACAAGTGTTCGTACTAGTGTAGGGAGGAATGAAGAGTTCCCTATTACTATCGGAGTGCACCAAGGATCGGCCTTGAGTCCTTTCTTATTTGCCATAGTCATGGATGAACTTACGAAGTCAATTCAAGACGATATACCGTGGTGCATGATGTTTGCCGACGATATTGTATTGATTGATGAGACGCAATCAGGTCTTAAAGCAAAGTTGGAAGTATGGCGACAAACATTGGAGAATAAGGGTTTCAAACTAAGTCGGAGCAAGACAGAGTACATGGAGTGCAAGTTTGGTGGAGGTAGAAATAGTGGTAATAGCGGAATTACTCTGGATGGTAAGGAGATACCGGTCAGCGATATGTTCCGTTACTTGGGCTCCATAATTCAGAAGGACGGTGAGTTAGATGGAGATGTATCCCATAGAATCAGAACAGGGTGGATGAAGTGGAAGAGTGCGTCAGGATTTCTATGCGACCGAGGTATGCCGACTAGACTGAAGGGTAAATTTTATAGGACAACAATTAGGCCTGCATTACTGTATGGCGTAGAGTGTTGGGCGGTGAAACAATGTCACATTCATAAGATGAGTGTGACAGAGATGCGCATGCTGCGTTGGATGTGTGGGCATACTAGGAAGGACCGCGTGAGGAATGAGACAATCAGACAAAGGGTGGGAGTAGCACCTATTGAAGACAAGATGCGGGAGTCGCGTCTACGGTGGTTTGGTCATGTGCGTAGAAGACCGAGTGATGCACCTGTTAGGCGAGTTGAGATGTGTGGACAAGAGGCAGGGAAGAGAGGGAGAGGAAGACCCAAACAGACGTGGGTTAGGGGAGTTCGAAGTGATATGCTTTTTCTGGGGTTGGATGAGGGCATGACTTTGGAGAGAACTAAGTGGAGGGCGGGTATTCACGTGAAGGAGTGATCTTGATAATTTTTTTCCCTCATCTTTTTTTTCGTAGTTTTTGTTATCCTTATATATATATATATATATATTTATAAGCATTATTTGCAACCTTTTTATTTTATCATTTATATATATATATTCATCTTTTTTATATTATCTTTTCATAATAGCTTATCTTTTTATCTTTATTCCTTCTTTTCCTTTTGGTTGTGATATCATGTATTGATTCATGTTAGCCGACCCCAATATCTTTTGGGACTAAGGCTTGGATGTTGTTGTACCGTACCGAAATGCTGGTATTTGTAAATATCATATCGTTACCATACCGAAAGTTTCGGTATATCGAATTTCGGTATATACCGAAAATTCGATACGGTATGCAACTCATACCGTTTTATATCGAAAATTCACAACACTAAATTTTCAAGACAATTCGGTATAAAGCATCGGCATAAGGGGCCTACCGAACATTCAAAAAATTGATTTTGGATATGTCAAAAGTAGCAAACGACATCATTTACATAAACTTATACCAAAAGTAAAACACAATATTTAATTCAAAGTAGAAAATACTAAAATTATGCTCTAATATCTCAAGTCTCAACACATCGATAATGAAAATTAGAAAAGTTATCCAACATAAATGAGTGATAATTAATGTTTGTAATAACACATCTTTGAACGCTTGTTGCACCTCCAAAATATAAGTAGGCTAAAGTTCACTCCTCCATTCCTACAAATGAAAAAAAATCAATAAAAAATCAATAGCACTTGCAGCCGCAAAAAGAAGCATACAAAAACCATAAGATAAACAAAATACTATGGAATTAAATTTATGTTTAGATTCTTATTAAATACTGGCAAAGTTGCATGTTGCATGGAGTAGTGAATTAGTTATAATTTTGACTTCTATCTCCTCTGTAAGCTCCATATTGATGGGGTCACTTTTATTGGTTCTTACCAAGTCATTTAGGTTTTCCTATACTCCTCTCAGGCTCTCAAGTTGTGTTTTATGCCTTCAAAACATTCTAATTTGTGTGGCCTCAACACGGCCAGACCATTATTCCTCCTATTGGGGTTTTCCCTACTTGCTCTCTTATCTTGTTGCCTCATTACTAATTCTGTCCTTCCCAGTTTAACACACTCATATAATCATATCAACACTGTCATCTCTGCATTCGATGGAACCAGGTTATAATCCTTATTTCACAATGGATAATACCTATTAGAGAAATAATAGTAATAATAATAATAATAATAATAATAATAATAACTAGCAATAATAATTTACTTACAAAACAGGGCATGGCCAGTGCTAAATAGCACTTGCAGTTGCAAAAAGAAGAATACAAAAACCATAAGATAAACAAAAAACTATGGAGGTGATCCACCATTTTCAGCCCAAATGAAACTGAGCTTTCTCGATTAACAGAAATGCCAACAACAAACTTTGAACAAATCAAACAAGGTGTACAAAAATGCCATGAACTGGGCGTTAACCAAGTTCTGGTAAAGCTTGGGGACAAAGGATCACCTCTTCTTGAAAATAATGTTACATGACATTGATAGTAAAGGACATACACGAACACCAAATTGGAATAGTATTTTTATAGGGAAGTTTTGTATTTATTCTGCAAGTTAATCCCAACATTTGACGTTGGATGTATTTTTCAAGATGCTTCACAACCATTTCCAAATAAAAACATTCTCCCGCTTAATTATTATCTCGTTTATCTTCTTATACCTAAATACACTACATATGAGAGAAGAAATTCATCCGCTCAGTTAATAGTTCATTTATCTTCTTATACCTAAAAACACTACGTATGATAAAGAAAATTTTTACTCAATTATTTGCTCGTTTATCTTATCATATACGGAGTACCTAAAAGCAGTACATATGAGAGATAAAATCATTGTACTCAATTATTAGTTCGCTTATATATTATACCTAAAAGCAGTACATATGAGAGAAATTCATCCGCTCAGTTATTAGTTCGTTTATCTTCTTATACCTAAAAGTATTATTAGTCCTCTTAATTTATTTATATTTAATAGCACTACATATGAGAAAACATATCCCGCTCAATTATTAGTACATATTTATCTTCAAAGCATTACGTATGATGCAAAAAATTATCTTGCTCAATTATTAGTTCGACCATCTTATTTTATACTTAAAAATACAACATATGAGAGAAATTTTTCCTTCAATTATTTGTTTGTTTTTCTTATGCTTAAAAGTACTACATATGAGTGAAAAATTTCTCCTGCTCATTTATCAGTCTGTTTATCTTATACCCAAAAATATTACATATAAGAGAAAATATTCTCTCACTTATTAGTATGCTCATCTCATACCTAAAACTACTACATATGAGATAGAAAAATCTCCCGCTCAATTATTATCCCGTTTATCTTCTTATACCTAAATACACTACATATGAGAGAAGAAATTCATCCGCTGAGTTATTAGTTCGTTTATCTTCTTATACCTAAAAGCACTACGTATGATAAAGAAATTTTTTACTCAATTATTTGCTCGTTTATCTTATCATATACGGAGTACCTAAAAGCAGTACATATGAGAAATAAAATCATTGTACTCAATTATTAGTTCACTTATATATTATACCTAAAAGTACTACATATATATGACTCATGAAAGAGAAAATTTTCTTGTTCACTTATTAGTCCGTTTATCTTATCTTATACTTAAAATTTTATACTTAAAAATACAACATATGAGAGAGAAAAATCTTTCCTTCAATTATTTGTTTGTTTTTCTTATAATGCCTAAAAGTACAACATATGAGAGAGAAACTTTTCCCGCTCATTTATGAGTCTACTTATCTTATACCCAAAAACATTACGCATGAGAGAAAATATTCTCTTACTTATTAGTATGCTCATCTCATACCTAAAACTACTACATATGAGATAGAAAATCTCCCGCTCAATTATTATCCCACTTATCTTCTTATACCTAAAAACACTACATATGAGAGAAGAAACTCTCCCGTTCAGTTATTAGTTTGTTTATCTTCTTATTTATACCTAAAAGCACAACGCATGAGAAAGAAAATTTTCCACTCAATTATTTGCTCGTTTATCTTATCGTATACGGAGTACCTAAAAGCAGTATATGTGAGAGATAAAATCATTGTACTCAATTATTAGTTCGCTTATATATTATACCTAAAAGTACTACATATGACTCGTATGAAAGAAAAATTTCTTGCTCACTTATTAGTCTGCTTATCTTATCTTATACTCCGTACTTAAAATCACTACAAATGAGAGAGAAAATTATTCCGCTCAGTTATTACCGAGCTTATCTAATCTTCTCATACCAAAAAGATTATATAAGAGAGAGAAAATTCTTCTGCTCACTTATTAGTCCGCTTATCTTATACCTAAAAACACTATATACATATTAGAGAGAAAACTTCGGCGCTCAATAATTAGTCCATTTATCTTATACCTAAAAGCACTATATTACCTATATATTAGAGAGGAAATTCTATTGTTCAGTTATTAGTCGGCTCATGTTATATCTAAAAGCAGGACATGTAACAGAGAATTTTTTTCTGTAAAATTATAAGTCTGATTATCTTATCTTTTACTTAAAAACACTAGAAAGAAAAACCTTCCCCTTAATTACTAATCCGCTTAGCTTATAGTTCCTCCGCTTATGTGTTCTCCTTCCCAAGTTTGTCTCCTTTAGGATTGTGAGCTTATTTGTTTTAATAGAATAAAAAACTGAGTTGATTGCGCGTTAAAGAAATTAGCAGCACCGAAATAGTAGCTAAGCCGTTCTTCAATTAAACCATGAATTTTCCCTTTTAAAAAAATATTTTTTTAAATTATTATCTGCTGGCTAAGAAAATCCCCTGATCATACGAATTATGATCAAATTCTTGATTCACATTCTTTCTTGAAGGGAAATTCTAGGGGCGGACTTCGATTTTATTACAGGTACGGATCATGATCAAATTGTCTTTTTCTTTAAATGCCCTTTGTGGGTTTCTTGAAATTCTCTTCATTGTTGTTGTCATGGATACGATAATCTTCTGGTATATGAAAATTAATAGCTCGAAATATTTATTTAATAAATGCGTGAAACAATAAGTTAGATTGTGTAAGATTGCAATGGGTGCGATTGTGGGAATAAGCTAAATCCACCTCATGAGAAAACTGTCAAATTTACTGCAATATATGTTTATTTGCAGGAAAATAGACATTATATACACGGCAATAATTTATTTTTCCAACATGGAAACAAATTTAATTTATAGTGAAAGCCAAGTGTGAGTGTTTATTTTTTTGTGTAGTAAGCAGGCGGCTTTCCTATTCTTATTATAAGCAAAATAATCATAATAAGTTTTGACTCACTTATAAGGTTGAAATGGATGTTATCTTTTTTCTTTCAGGAAAGTGAACATATTTGGCAACAACAACAATAAAATGGTGTAGGAGGAATTTGAATGCTTTATTTGTTCTGCTAAGAATGACAAGTACCAAAGGTTCTGCTTAAGGTAGGAGGATGAGAATAATTTTTTCTATTAAACCAAAATGTGTGCTCTCCTGCTAATCATGTATAGTTGTCCTAAGTGATTTTGTTTTGACACTGCAGGAGAAGAATGGATTCCTTAGAAATGCATTGTAAGACGACTCAAGGAGATGATGAGAAACGAATTGAACCTAAACAAAAGGAAATTGATGATCCAATACTTGAACGTGTTGCATCATGTATATCGATAGCCACTTCGCCTTCTCCTATATCGTCCCCGTCATCAGGTGGTAACACGCCACAATGGAGTATGATGAGTGCATCTCCACATCATGGGACAAGTAATCAGATCTCATTCGTAGACGAACATCCTGATTGGAATGCACCAAATACGAACTATGACCCAACACGAATACCATCCTCAATTTTCTCTAGCAAGCCATCAATGCCTGGGGAATGGAGTGTGACTTCTAATGAGTCATTGTTTAGTATTCATACGGGTAATAGCAGCTTCTGTAGAGATGAGAGGAAGAGCTTTTCCTCGACCCTTCCCACTCTCATTGAAGTGTCAGCAGATCGTGAAGAAAAGAGCGGTAAAATGTCCAGCGGATCTTCTCAAGTACAAGAGAATGATGATGTTGAGACCCCAAAGTCATTCAGTTCGAAACATACCTCGAAAGATTATGATGATGAAGAGGAAAAGGGGAATGTAGTGGGTGGTGAAGTGTATTCTTCTACCATGAGAGTGGAAGGTGCTGGTGTTGCAGTTCCTCAAATCGAGCGTATTCAAGAATCATCCCGCCTTTCAACCGGGAGTACAACTAGCACCAAGTCCTTTGCATTTCCTGTGTAAGTTTGTTAGATCATAGATCATGTAGTAATTCCTTTTTTTGTGGTTATACAACCCTCACACTAGGTCATATGAGACCAATTATGGATCATGTGAGCTATAATATCATATTAAAATTTGAGTTTTGAGGCCTTAAAAGTCAATCTGACAGAAGAACTGAAGAAGCCCAAGATCATAAATACCTTTGTCATGAACTATACATGCCAACATTTCCCAAACCTTTAAGGTTTACCTATGTCAAAATATCTCATTTAACAAATCAAATAAGTTCTAGAAGTTGATATGATCATAATTGATAACAGGTTGGTAAAAGATTTTAGTAGAAGAGAAGGTTTGTTGAAAGGGGACAATGGCGGTATGAAATCAGAGGTTCAACCACAAGCAAAGCAGCAGTCTGAACCAGAGCTTCAACTGCAGCCAGCTGAGACAGCAGCAAAACCCGAAACTTCTAAAGGAATGCCCGAAGCGGTACCACCCGTGGCTACAGCAGAGCCCGGTTGCTTTTCTTGTTTCTCTTGTTGTTCACGTTGCTGTTGATGTATACTCCCTCTCTTCCAAAATATATGTCTAGGTAGGGGTTTCAACTAGTTTAATAAAGTTTATAATAGTTTGAAATCTTGAATGTGTGCTTAAACAATTTTTGGTAGCTCCATTTTCAAAAAAAGTTAAAATGAAATGAGAAAAATATTTCAGGATGCATGGCCTAAACAGAAGTAGAGTGGAGTATATAATTGCTAAAGTATTATTTAATACTCCGTATTTTTAAAAATACGATTAAATCAAAATAACAGTTTTGACACTTTTACCCACTTTTATATTCATTCTTATACCTAAGGTCAGTGAGAAGACTCTTTATGCCTATGAACCCCAGACAAAAAATGCATTGCTTGTATGTGAACGAGGTTCACAAACAAACAAAAACACTTCTCACGGATAGCGGGTATAAGGGTGGGTATAAAAGAAGGTACAAAGAGAATTTTTCACCAAATAATGACTTGTAAGTAGAATTTGACATGAAACTGTTATCAAGACTTGAAATCAAGATCTTTTGGTCACATTAACCGGTGCATGAGCCTCTTCCTTCATTAAAATAATGATTCAAAGTTTCAAACAGTCAAATATTTTCCAATTCTGAATTTTTTCTTTGACATCATATTACAGTCCTATACTTTATACAAATCTCCCTCGTAGTAAATGAGAACAAAAAAATCATTACAAGTGCATATTTTAGGAAGATTTTGAGTCACCTTGTAACACCGAAATTGGCTCAATTGATTAAATTTTGGTTAAACTGGTTGAATTGGTTAAATCCTGAATTATGACAATAATATATTAAAACGTCTTTTATTAAAAAAGAAAGAAAAATTATATGAAAAAATATTCACAATGACTTCTTCAGTAATTTCAGCCAATATACCTTTAAAAGTAGTCTCAACCTTACTATTTTAATTACTCTGTATTACTTAATTCAGTGCACAGAATCAAAAGTTATGTAGTTGTAATAAGAATTACGAAGTATAATATTTGTTTTATAAATCATGTGACACATGAAAAAAGGAAATTGGTCATTTGTAACCTTTCTTTAAGGTCTCGTTCCATAGTTTACATGTTAAATATTTGCACGTGAAATAATTGTACACACAGTTTAGAGAAGCAATCACTTTACATGTAAAATAAATTACATTGTTTGATTAGATGTGTAATTTATTTTTAATTTACACGCCAAGACGTTGCGGTGCTTTATAAAAAGGATGCAAAGTATTTACCCTCCCCCCCCCCCTCCCACCCCACGTAAAATACTTTTCATGGTACAGTGCTAAATATTTTTAAAATTGTTACATTAAATAACTCAGCTAAACAGTGTAAACCTGTTACATGTCTGCACTTTGCACGCAAGGTAATTATTTTACCTCATACCAAATGCCCTCTAAATCTCATATCCATGGTTTTATTTTATAATAAGTGATGAATAAGGATAACTACTTTACTCTTTTAAGCATCATTTTCTATATAATTAGAATGTTTTTAATTGGATTGAAATTTTATGATTTGAGCTAGTCTTATTCACTTAAGTCTGATCTGGGATGGACTGGTATTTGTTTGTTTTATCACTTTATGTGGTGTATAGTGTATTTTACAACTTTCAAAGTCAGATTTGATCTGGTGTGTTCTCAACTCATTTGATCTGATCTGATCAGTTTACATTTAGTCTGAAGTGGTTCGAAGTAATCATGGATTGAAAAGAGTCTGACTAAAAACATTCTTAGTAATACATGTGCTCATGAAAATAAATTAAACTTTTTTTACGAACCATGTACTCCTTAAATTTGTAAAAGAATGTCTAAGAAGTTATAAAGTTAATAACTGCATTAAATTTGCAATTTGGATTGAGGTGGCGGGGTGACATAGTTGAATTGAGGTCTCAATTTCATTCTCAGATAGCGGGATTGTGTGAGTTTCATCGAATGTGGTGACTCCTTGTGTGCACAAGACTTTAAACTATTTGACTTTGAAACTATACATCGATTCACCCCTCTGCTATTATGGGTATGTTTGGCACAACTAACTGAAAAGATACTTTTATGAACTTTTTAGTAATTGTTAGCTTTTAGTGATTGAAAATATCTTAAAAAGAAAAGGCAATACATGTTTGGTAAAAAGGTGACTGTTTGATTTAGCTCTATTTGGTATACAAGTTGTTAAGACTAATTAATACTAGAAGCTAGTGACTTATCTGAGATGCTATTCAGTGTAGCATCTCAAAAAAGATCTTTTATTTTTATAAAATCTCTTAAAAATTGGCATGTCAAACATACAACTAGAAACTTTTAAAGACCTTTTAAATAGTACAAAAGCTAGAAGACAGAGACTTATATGGATGACTAGTAAGCATGTCAAATGAGCGATTCCATTTTTGGATTGAGAGTTAACTAGACTTAGATAGTTTGAAAAGGTTATTGTTGTTAGAAGATTTGTAATAATTCTTTGGATCCTCTCTAATCAAAACAAACACTGAATATTTATCAAGTACATATGAGATATAATTTACTTTAAGAAAGTTATAGAGAAATCTACCCCTCATATGACTAAAAGTGATTACCTTTCCCATAATATGACTCAAATGTTTATTTTTCTAAACTATAACTTACACACTTGCCCAGCTATTATGTTATTTATATGGATGACTAAAAACAAATCTAGTCATATTTTGGGGACTTTAACAATTTTTTACTCATATGTAGGTATTTTTCCCAAATTAATTTTGATTTTATTTATGGACTTTTGTGAATATTAGATAAGAGACAAATATATACATATGAATGCATTATTCCATGTGAGTGAGAAAAGGGATACCATATAATAGTCGTGTCTTTCTATATATTTAATAATTATAATTACTCTCATCCAATAATATTTAGGTATAATCGGGGACCTAGTATGTTGTACTGACATAGTTTGGTAAATCTAATTATAGTGAAAATTATAAATTTATACTTTTATAATAATGTTTTTTAAAAGTAATCTTTCACAACACTTTCATATTTTAAATACTTTCGTGTATAGATATACTATCAATCAAAGTTTAACATCTTTGAATGGAAAAGTAAAAAATGACCAACTAAAATGCTTCGAAGGGAGTATAATATACAATCTCATGCATGGTCATTTAAGTGCGCAAAGTGAATATGACTAAGTTATTATTATAGTCATTACAAATAGAATGCTAAATTTGAGTAAACAACATTCATTTTATTCATATATATAATTGTTTGATAATATTTTCATTTATAAAATACAAACAGATAGTTACATATTCATCTGAAACTCAAAAACATTATAGAGGTAAATCTTAAAAGGTGTGTTGGGTGTTCTGCCGCTTCAAGCATTTCATATCTTATTTGTAAGATATTATCGATTTCTAAAACTTTTATTTAGATCACATATACAAAATATCAAAGGATAAATATGTAGTCCCTTAAATTCAAATCATTGTGGAGTTGATTCTGAGTGGGTCACGTTTGATATGTGCACACTTCTCTATTTTAAGTATTTATATCTCGTTAGAAAGATCACATCGAGTTCTAAAACTATTTTCAAACTTCATTTGTAATGAAGTTCAAAATCAGAACTCTATTTGCTCCAATTAAACTCTATTTACTCCAGATGTGTTCTAATTACTCTAAATATACTTTTTTTTTACAAGACTCTAAATATACTTATATTCATACAAAACATGTTAACAACTTGATTTGATGAGAATGTGTTTCTGTTTCCACCGTTTCCGTTTCCAGCGTTCTATAGAGTGACGAAGTGGGAATAGCACCACCATCAACCTTACCCAGCACGCCCTAAGAAAAAAGTAAGAATAATTAAGACCCCGTTTGGTAACACTGAAATCGGTTGAATCGATTGATTCTGCTGAAATTTATGAAGTTCTGGCTGAAGTGACTGCATTGGCTTATTCTGCTAATTTATGGGAAAAAATTAAAATATATTTTACTAATTAAATACAAAAAAACTTTATATGAAAAGTAGTTAAAATGATCATCTACAGTAACTTCAGTCAATACAACCAGAAAATTAACTTCAACCTTACTTTTTCTTATTATTACACAAATGAACGCGTGAAATCAAAAGTTACGTGTTTGGTTAAAAAGTTAGCTGATAAGTCTGATAAGCCGAAAAGAGATGTACCAAACGGTTTCTAAATATTTTAAAAGAAGAGTTATCAAGATGAGAAAATGTAACAAATCTCCAAAAAGAATGTGTGGTAAACTTTTTAAATTAAGAGTTTAAATTTAAACTAGCTATTTGTTATACTCATATCACCTAAGATTGAACATTACTCTTTATCTAGTATTCTACACATCTATTATCTACTGCAAATATAAACACAATGATGTCGTACGACAAGTGGGAATGTCCAATATAAATGGAGGACATTAAGAGTATGTTTGCAAGAGTGTAATAAGTTTATCACTATATTGATGCTATATGCTATATTGGGTCATGTATTCTTAGTTACATGAAAATGATTTCTGGCCATATTTGTTGCTCTTCTAAAAGCTATCATTTGATTTGTCCAAAGTTAACTTTTAAGCCTAGTTGTTTGGTTCTGATGTGTTTGTGTACTTCACAATTGTCCGAGTAATTTGAAAATGAAGACCAATCTAACTACAAACAGTCCTATGATGACTTAAATTGACTTAAAATTTTCTAGTAAATTGGATTAAAAACATCCTATAGTCCAATCTAATCCATTTCAATGTTCATCCGTAACGGAAAGATCTTCCGAGGTCACTTTCATTGTTCATCCACAAAAACAACAACATCCAAACTTTAATCCCAAAAGAATTTAGGATCGACTAACATGAATCGGTCTATGATATCGATGTTAAACAGAGAAGACGGACAAGATGAAAAAAACTAAGATAAAATGAATAAAACAGAAATAAAAAATACTACGTATAATATAACAATAACATAAAAATATAAGAAAGATAAAAGATAGAAAGATAAAAAAGCATAAAAAAGCTAGAAGATAAAAATAACATTGAAATATAAAAAGATAAAGAAGATAAACAATAAAAGAGAAGAGAGAGGGAAGGTAGAAAATACATCAATCATCCACACGGATGTGCGCCCTCCACTTTGCTCTCTCCAAAGTCATACTCTCGTCCAACCCAAGAAGACGTACATCAATTCTGATTCCTTTAATTCAAGTCTGTTTGGGTCTTCTCCCCTCTCTCTTCTCTGTCTCTTCCTCCCACCCCTCAAGTCATCTAACAGGTGCATCACTCGATCTTCTACGCACATGTCCAAATCACCGCGAACGAGACTCCTGCATCTTATCTTCTATTGGTGCTACTCCCACAATTCGTCTGATTATCTCATTCCTCAAGCGGTCTTTTCTGGTATGTCCATACGTCCCACGCAACATACGCATATCTGCCACACTCATCTTTTGAATGTGACATTGCTTCAGCGCTCAACACTCGTCATGCATTAATACAGGCCTAATTGTTGTTCTATAAAATTTACCATTCAATCTAGTCGACATACCTCAATTGCATAGAAATCTTGATGCACTCTTTCATTTTTACCACCCAACTTTGATTCTATGGCATACATTTCAATCTAATTCACCATCCTTCTGAATTATGGAGCCCAAGTAACGGAGGATATCACAAACCAATATCTCCTTACCATCAAGAGTAATCCCACTGTTGCTACTACTTATACCTCCACCAAACTTGCACTCCATATACTCGGTATCCTTCTGAATTATGGAGCTCAAGTAACGGAACATATCACAAACCAGTATCTTCTTACCATCATGAGTAATCTCACTGTTGCTACTACTTATACCTTCACCAAACTTTCACTCCATATATTTAGTCTTGTTTCAGCTCAGTCTGAACCCTTGATCTCCAATGATTGTCATCATACTTCCAACTTTGCTTTAACACCAGATTGCGTCTCATCAATCAATACAATATCATCGGCAAACGTCATGCACTATGGTATATCTTCTTGAATTGACTTCGTAAGTTCATTCATGATTATAGCAAATAAGAAGGACTCAGAGCAGATCATTGACACACTCCGATAGTAATAGGGAACTTTGCGGTCCTCCCTACGTTAGTGCGGACAACTGTAGTACAAACATCATACATATCCATGATGATACTGATACACTTACGCGATATGCATTTTCTAGGTATGGTCCACCAAAGGACTTCTCGAGTTACCCTATCATATGCCTTTTCTATGTCAATGAACACCAAATGCATATCCTTTTTAGTGCCTTTATGTTTCTCCATAACTTGTCTAAGAAGGTGAATGACCTCATTTGTTGAGCGTCCTGACATAAAATCAAATTGGTTCTCCGAAATTTTCACAAAGTCTTTGCTCAATCACTCACTCCCACAGTTTCATGGTGTGACTAATATGCTTAATTCTTCGATAGTTGGCACATTCTTGTACTTTACACTTATTTTTAAATAGGGGAATGAGAGTACTCTTTGGTCAACTCATTGACATTTTGTTGTTTCTTCAAATCATGTTGAAGAAATGTATTAGCCATTCAATGCCTCTCAAACTTCTCCTAACCTCGATCGGTATGCCCTCTGGATCCACTGCTTTCTTTAGCCCCATTTTTCTCATAGCCTCTTTAACTTTTGTTGTTTGAATCCTTCTCACGAAATCCCGATTTACATACACTCTGATATACTAAGATCATCATCTATACTTTGCATTTTATTCCCGTTGAACAAGGTATCAAAGTATGACCTACACCTCTATTTTATTTTCTCATCCTCCATTAATATCATTTGATCTACATTCTTCGCACACTTAACCTTTCCAATATCTTGAGTCCTATGTCATGAAAGCGAGCAAGTATGTAGATATCTTTTTCTCCTTCCTTAGAGTTCAATTTTACATACAATTTCTTGTTCACAACTTAGACCCACATGCCCGTCGAGGTCGCTCCTTATATATGACTAGTTTCCCTCTCCTTGCACTCTTTGCACTGCTTCCTCAAGATCCTTCCAAAATTGTTGAGCGATAGATACATCCAATCTCATTTGTGGTGCATAAGCACTTACCACAGACACGATCTCATCTCTTTATTATCAACTTAATGCTCATGATGTTATCATTGTTCCTAAAGACTTCAACCACACCCTCGATATCATCATGCTCCATCATAATGTGCAAGAAACCAAGTGAGTTTAAGTTGTGGTATTTGGAAAAGGGAGGAACATAATTTAATGATGTCTTCTCTTCTTCACACCACAATGCCCTTGCATATTCTTATCACCACCTAACCGTAGTGATATTCATGTTTTGGTTCTATGTCCTGCCTACCCTCAACAATTTAATTGTGAAGACAATGCACAATTTATGCCTACTTGTGAAATGACAACATCTTTTTGTGAAGGAGGTAGCATCTAACTCGATCCAGTCCGATATGAACATACCATTTATACAATCAAAAGGGAGGTAAACGTTACCGAAGTCATTTTTCATAAAACCCAGAGACGAAATCATTTCTAGTTACATCAAGATTTTGTACAATTGATTGTATGCAGAAACAAATTCCGTAAACACAGTTATATCAATCTCTAATGATAACCGCGTCCTTGCGCGCTCTGTCGCTTGCATTAGTGCATACAAAAAAAGAACATAATCCCAACATTAATTAACCTTAAACCTAATAAAATCAGTAAAACACCTCCTCCATTTTTGGTTGGTGAAAAGCATTGTAGTGGTTAATTGAAAGCACATGTTAAAAGAAACAAGAAGGGGTGACGATGATGTGTTTTAAAGGGTTTGTGACATCTGTACCGCCAGCATGCTTCACAAACTCAGCAGGTGAAAGAAAGCTCCCATGGCAGACACACATTATCCTCACTTCCTCTCCCTTTTCATATCTGTACAAGAAACCCTCGATCTTCTTCCCGTTGGGCCCGTCACCTTTCGTCGAAACACAAGGCATGTTCATCATTAGTTTCCTGAGGACTTCATTGTTGTCCTTCGCAGGGGCGGTGACGGGATTATCGGAGTTCTTGGCTGGAGGTTCAAGAATGGCAGCTGGTGGTCTTGCCTCCTCCTCTTCAGACTGATCACTTGCACTTCTTGTTTCTTCCTCATTCTTAAGGGAAACTGAAATCCAAGTTGGTTACAAGTGTTAGACATAACAGAAGTTATTCATCTAAATAAAGAGTCAAAATAAAGACATAGTTTTTTCCTCTCTGCAACTAGTAGTGCTTCTCTACAAATTGTAACTAATAAAGCTATGTTGCACCTCACCATGCATCTATGCAATATGTATGCAGCTCTTCACATAGTTATATATCCGGTTTAAAAAACGGATTAACTGGACCCTAGTCCGGTTTGAGATTGAGAACAAAAATTAGGATTGATTTAGATGGTGCAATCAACAAATTGTTCAAGCGGTTCAATGGAAAGGGTGGGTTCGTGAGACAACGAATTATTCGAGCGAATCAAAGATCAACATTAACAAAGAATCAAGTCTTTTAGAGCCCGTATGCAGCGGACTGTGATGAAATCCGGATTATGAAAACGTAAGCCCGGGAGAGTAAGAAAAGAGAGTGTAAGAAACAAAAAATAACGAAAAGATAGTTCCTTAACATTGGAATATGGAGATGTGGAATGATTTTTAAAAAAATGGTGTTACTAATTATTATAGGAGTAGTTTATATGAATTGGAATCTGTAATACATAAATTAAGTATATATGAAGTATACACACAAAATATTTCTAAGAATAATACGCAACATACTTGGGGTATATTGTGTTAACATATAGGAGTAGTTAAAGTTTCATTAAAGGTGTGTTTGGAGAGAGGATTTCCGACACAAAAGGATTAGAACAGATTTATAAGAACAAAATAATAGTAATGCAGGTTTATTGTGCAACTCCTTTTAATGTTGTAAATTCAATAAAGAATCTGAAATAGAATTGCTGAAATATAAATCTCCCCACGAAAACCCTTCTTCCCAAATTAAAAGCAATAATAAGTCTAAATAAACTCATTAGTCAATATTAGAAGGTTGAAGAAATACAAAATAAAAAGTGGGGAAGGGAATTTTACCTGGTAAAGGTTGACTCTCAAAATCAGAGACTCCAGAAGATCCACTGCCCTGTGAAGCTATAGATCCCTGTGAATTTGAAGGCAATAATGGCTTCCCATTATTTCCATTCCCCTTCTCTTCCTTCTCCCGCTTCTCCCTCACAACTCTCACGCTGTTGTTAAGCTTCTCCACCCTTTTCCTCTTCGCTTCCATCCGCTTCTGCGTCTGCGCCTCCTTCTTCCTCCTCCACTCCTCCGTCTCCCCATCCGAGCACGCTCGAGGCAGCGGCGCGTGGGCCGAGAATGCACGCGCCTCCCCTTCTTCCCCGCGGACGGCCAAGTTCGATATTGAAGATGAGCGCTTCATGATTTGGGCTCTGTTCGGGTCGAACCCGAATTTCCCGTTCAGTGAAAGCCCAAGGCTTAGCTCAACCCCTTCCTCTTTCAAGACTGTTTCATTAACCACGCCGGTTTCCTCCTCTTTCTTACAAGACTCCCGGACGGACTTCGCCGGAAAATTGTTGGCGAATAAACGTAAATTCAACGTATCTCCCGAGATGCCATTTATCACGGATAGGCTTTCCTTTCCTCCTAGAACTGCTTCGGTCTCCGCCATTGAATCTTCCGCAATATGGGAATTTTCGGATGAGGTTTGGTCAGAGAATCGCCGGAATAGCAAGAATCGCCGGGTCTAAAGAATAGAGGGATAGGAAGATACAAAGTGCAGTTTTGTAGGGAGGGGTGGGGAAAGATTTTTAATTTAATTAGAGAAGGGTTGAAATGACTAAAAGGGCCTTGGATTGTGAAACGTAAGTTTGTGAGCGACGGACACGTGGTGGGACTGAACAGCGCAGAAGGCCCACGTGGGCTAGACAACCTGGTTTAACGGACGACGTCAAACATGTGTCCTTTTCGGTCCAGAGGTAAAGTTAAAGTTACCGGCGAGACAGACACGTACCGGTTGCTCTGCCCTGCCACGTGTCGGGGTAATTCGGCCTCGTGAAGCCGCGACGATCTCTCTATATCTTCTCCCTCCCCTTTCTCTCTCTAACTTTTGTGGGATGGCTAGGGTTTGGTCTCTCTCGTCATCGGATTAGCTGTCAACCAGTAGATAGGTGTCGTGGATAATTGAGGAGATCGATACGTGGCAAACAAGTTGGGCTTCTTGGTACAGTTACCGATTGCGTCTCCTGACCCTACGTACGGCCATGACAACACAATCTTTTGTCCGTAAAATTAATTTGATTTATAGTACGGCAAACATACCTTTGATTATTTTTTTAATTTAACGCTATGTTGATTTACTCCGTACTAGTAAACTCACCCGTGCGATGCACGATCTGAGAATTTTTCTTTCAAATTTATGTGTATTTAGTGATTCAAATCACACTATAAATTGATGACATCATCTATCTTCATGTAACAGTGATATACATAAAAGCATTAAATGAAACACACTTATAATATTATGGTTAAAATGAGAGTACTAAATATTACTTAAAAGATCAAAAACATCCAACAAATACGTTGAAACCATCACATTGTAAATATGCATTTAAAGTAAACCTAAACATTGTTGAACACTTCTTTGAATACAACATTCTGAGTCTTGTCATTTTGTCAATGGTTCCTTCATCTTCATCACCAATTAGAATTTTTAAATTTACACGAATTTTTTAGACGAATTGTCTCTCTAAATAGGTAAAATAAGGGAGTAAAATATGTGAAAGTGTGTTATGTCATTCTTGAATTATACTTGAATCTAAATTTGTGGGAAAATGTTCAAATATGTGCTTCTACTGTTTCTAATATCCAAGTATGGTCTGGTCTGGTTCGTTTAAGTTTGGTTTGGTTTGAGACTGAAATAAGTCTAAGTATAAACATCTCAAGTAATATGGTGACTATGCATTTATACGAATTGCCCGGATAAATTGGCAAATCAGGGGGTGTGCAAATATGTGAAAGTGTGTTATGGCATTATTTAAACAATACTCAACTATGATAATTCTTCAATCGGGCCTTAACCGGCTCTATTCGATCCTAGACCGAACCCGTGCGATGCACGGTTCGGCCCGATTGTATGGGCGTCTAGGCCAATCGGGCCTTAACCGAGTCTATTCGATCCTTGTACAGCACTCGTGCGATGCACGGTTTGAAAATTTTCACAATACAATTAATTTTAATCAAATTTAAAGTTAAAAAACTTCTAATTTTACTTGAATCATTTACAATTGTTGTCTGTACAATTATAAAGTTTGACGTAAAAATGAAACATATTGAGTATGATCTATCAATGATTACTGAGTAGTTCACACATTTTATAGACCCACAATACTCTCTGTTTCAATTTTTGTTCCACGATCATTGTATGCAATGTGATTGTTTAACGCTCGACGGATTGATTGCTCCTGACACAACCACGTAAAATTGACAATAACTACTAATAAGTGTTTCAACAACAAACCATGCAACACGAGACACCAACTATTTTTGATTTTATTTACATTCATGACATAATAAGTCATGTTTAGGTATTCTAGTATCCGGAATTGCAGTGGCTAACGTCTTAAGGTGTTAAGAAATGCTTCGAACTTAACACCTTATGTCTCGCACTAACTCGTGTTAAAATTAAAATTCTTCCTTCTAGTAAATTCACCCTCACAATGCATCAATGCCCGGGTAAACATGCAAAATAGGGGGTGTGCAATAATGTAAAAGTGTGTTATTTTATTTTTAAACTATACTTGAATATAAATTTGTGGGAAGTGTTTAAAGAGATCCTTATATTATTTCGTACATGTGTGTTGATCATATACGAAAAAAAGTTATGGTGTCACTAAGTACATTTACTTTTAAAACACATTCAATCAAGGCATTTTGAGCCACTATGATGGTTCGTTTTCTAAATAAGTTCACATAATTGATTTTTTTATAAAAGCACATATGCATTTTCAAAATATACAAATAAAAGTATAAAAATGCTAAAAATAATGTCAAAATTGATAAATACTAAATCCGTTTTCAAATAAATAAAATACATGAAAACCTACATCATATAGAATTACAATGCAAAATTCTTAAAAAGTAGAATATACGAATAATTAGAAAAGAGCGAATAAAATATAGATTTAATTTAAAAAATATCCCTTCCATCAATGTCTTTTGAATTATTTCTTTTTGTCCAACCTACAATTATAAAATTACGATATGTTTTTTTCAACCAATTTTTGGTGAAATAAATTGTTACAAAATAATACTACCAACTTGAGCAATAATATATATTTATTGATATGAGAATAAATGAATGTGAAAACCTTCTTACATCCACATTACTTTTATATCTGAAATTCCATTACAATCTTTTAGGAATTTCGAAACAATCAATAAGCTTCATTATGTCCACCACACATTTCAACCAATAAGGTTTAAGTATTTGACTATTCCCACCACCTATTTCAACCAATAAGGTTTAAGTATTTGACTATTCTCACCACCCATTTCAACCAATAGAAAAATAGTATTTTAATCAAAATAAAGTATCCAATAAAACTTAAAATAAAACTTGATGTTGACATTTATTGGAGGGAACACTATTCCTCAAACATCTTTTACTTTTATATTAGAATAGATAAGATTTAAGTATTTGACTATTCCCACCACTCATTTCAACCAATAAGGTTTAAGTATTTGACTATTCCCACCACCTATTTCAACCAATAAGGTTCAAGTATTTGACTATTCCCACCACCCATTTCAACCAATAAAAAATTAGTATTTTAATCAAAATAAAGTATCCAATAAAAATTAAAATAAAACTTGATGCTGACATTTCTTGGGGGGAACATTATTCCTCAACGTTCTTTTGCTTTTGTATTGGAATAGATAATGTTTAATTATTTGACTATTGCCACCACCCATCTCAACCAATAAGGTTTAAGTATTTGACTATTACCACCACACATTTCAACCAATAGAAATTTGGTATTTTAATCAAAATAATGTATCCAATAAAAATTAAAATAAAACTTGATGTTGACATTTCTTGGGGGAACACCATTCCTCAAACTTCTTTTGCTTTTATATTAGAATAGATAAGGTTTAAGTATTTTACTATTCCCACCATACATTTCAACCAATAGAAAATTAGTATTTTAATCAAAATAAAGTATCCAATAAAAATGAAAATAAAACTTGATGTTGATATTTCTTAGAGGGAACACTATTGCTCAAAATTCTTTTGCTTTTATATTAGAATAGATAAGTGATGAAATATATGGCCCGGGAACCCCCGGCCCACAGACTCCTACTACTCCAGCAAAGGCCCAACAGGCCCAACAGGCCCAAATCACAGCGCCCAGAGTACCAAGCAGTCCGCACAACGCACAGGGGTGCCTTCGGCCCCCTGGCCGAAGGCTCCAAATTATCACAGAGCGGGTTTCTCAAGCAAATTAGGAAACTGGGAGAAAACGGCGAAAACAGTAGCCCTCGGCACTGTGAGCCCTCGGCACCAGGGTGCCATCGGGTGGGAGAGCCCTTGGTTACTGCTCTATAGCCGAAGGCATCTCACTCGACAAGATATCAGCCTCACATGCGTACAGATCACCGTACCCCGCACAGACGTCCCGTCCAACAGCCGCATTAAATGCGGCCACATGCGGCTGCCAGCGCCAACCAGTTGAGGTGACCCCTCGGCCAATGAGCGCTTGACACGTGTCCCTGCCCGGCATTTATTGCTACTATAAATAGCACCCCGTTTCCCCATTTGTAACCACGCTGAAAAGTGATCACACACTGAATACACTCTCTCTCTACTTTTATTCACTTACTCTGGTACTCTCGTTGAGAGGTTGAACAAATCGAGTAAGAAACCCTCCCCCTCGACCAAACACAAAACACTAGCCCTCTATCAAAATGGTGAGGACAACACGTGCCAACTCAAAGAACGTAGAAGACAAGAACCTGGCCCTCGGCGACGTCAACGCCCCCGAAACCTCTCACAGGGCTCCCGAGGGCGGTGTCATCGCTGGGCTGGAACAGGCGGCTGTCGACCTACGCCTTCAGATCCAACAAAATGCCCCCGATGCCTGCCTCGGCATCGAGGCCAAGAAGAAAAACCGGAGCGATGACCAAGTCAGCCCTCCGGTTCTCACCATCGACGTACAATCGGCGCTCTCCGCCTTCATTCAGACGCTCACCCAGAACCCGGGTGCCTTCGGCACCCTGGCTCCAGCTCACCCTCAGATCGGGGAAAATATCATACTTCCCCCTCTGCCACACCCCTTCGGAAATCCCACCCCTCGGGTGAGAAACGACGAAGGGGTGGTGGCCCAAGAAACATCCTCCCAGGAAGTTCAGTCCCGGGACCTCCATAATGACAACAGGGAGAGGCCCCGTACTTCCGCCCTACCCCGGCTCGGAGGAGGGCCAGACCGCCGAGGGGTCCAAGACCGCCTCGGGGGGAAAGCACTCCAAAGGCCCCAGGAAAGCGGGAGATCTGTTTCGAGGGCAGACGAGGAGCGTCCCCCTCGGGACAAAGGCAAGGCACCCCTTCATGCCGATGATGCTCGGCACCAAATCAACCAGGCCCACTCGGCCCGGGTTCGTTCGCAGGGGGCGGAGACCCTCCCGAGGGACCCCCGGGACGAGATTATTGCGGCCCTCCAGCGCCGGCTTGACGAAATGGAGTCCAACAAAGCTCACGCCACCACCTCCACCCCTCATTCAGATCTCAAAT